CTCGCGCAGAAAGTTAGGTCTAAAGGGGTCTGTATAGTGATTTGAGAGAGCTCAGAAAAACAATCTGGTGCACCTTAAAAAATCCCCCCCCCCCCCCCTCGAGAGAATCCTAGATCCGCCCCTGCATGCACTAGTGGACAAAATTAATTGCAAATTCAGTTTTTTTCTCATAAACAAGCGCATGTTTGAGGATCATTTTAGACAATTTTTAACCGGTTATTCCATAAAAAACTTTATGGAATAAATTTATGGAATAAATTTTAGTCATAGAATAAGTAATTCAAATGGCCAGGCGTCACAAAAAAACTGCGCAGTATTTTGGCCAGGGTGAGCTGAAAGGAGCCGAAAGAGAAATGGTCGAGTTTAGGAAAGATATTTGAAGAAACAACACCAAAAATTATTCGAACTCAAAGTAAGCCCTTAAACAAAATTCAAACTTTGATACTTTCCTAGATGGTAGCTGAGAGGATTTTTGCTTAAATCCAATTGCTTGTATATTAAGTAATGTTGTCCAAATTGGTTCCCAAATGTATGCGTTTTAAAAAGTTTAAAAAAATAGCTTGCATGGATTTTGACCACTAGTGTGTATGCAATTGGAAACGCATTAAAAAGACTGACAACCTTGTAAAACTTTCTCACATGAACACTCAAAAACAACAGATTAAAGAGAAGACTAAAAGTTGGCTCGCGATTTTCTAATTGGCGAAAAGAACATCAAATCAAGTTGTAAAGTGCAATCTGAAAATCACACTATCTAATTACCACAAGAGTACAACCAACACAACTTCTCTTTGATTTATTGCTTGATTAGTGCTGGCAGCCATCTTTTATTGCCTTGTTTTGTCAATTACCTGCGCTTTCAACTTGCCAAAGCGAGCCCAAATTGCCCCAGTGTTTCAGTAAAGTGCCAAACTTCCCCCAAAACAACCTTGTATAGCGCAGCCATGCGGCATTACCGTGCCCCATTAACCCTTGACAACACCCCAAATTAGGGTCTGAATGTCAAATTAATTGAAATCAAGTGAATCGAGAACTGTTTCTACACGTCAGTTTTAAAATCTGTTTTTTATACTTAATTTGAAAAATGAACCTTGCGCTGTAGAGCTGAAAACGAGTGTTGTTTTTCTCTAAAAAAGAATGAAGTCAAGAGAATTTTTCAGGTCTTAAAACGATCAGGTCGTTATTTTATTGCATTGTTGAGGGAGAACCCAGCGCAAACATATTTCCCATAATATCTGACCATTTCTCTATTATTTCTCGACAATTTTTTATGCTCCAAGGCAATATGAATGAGCTCCATTTTATAAGTCATAACGAATGTAAGATACTTAATTAGTTTATAATAGATAATTTCCCCAGCGGGGGGGGGGGGGGGGGGCAAAATATACTAATTTTGAGGGGAGCGCGCGCCAAAAACCGCGAGTTTTTGGTCAAACATTTTAAAAAAGTTCCTGAAAACGCCTTTTTTGGCCCATTTTTTCAAATTTGCAGCGCAGAAAACTTGGTCAAAATGCGGTCTTTTTAAAGATTTGGGAGAGCTCAGAAAATAAATTTGGTCGACTTAACAAAAAGACCGACAAAATTTGTGAGAATCCTAGATCCGCCATTGGATAATCCTAGATCCCCCTCGAGAAAATCCTAGATCCGCCATTGGATAATTTATTGAACGCACTATGTCGCTGAAGGTATTTAGAAAGAGCAAGCAAAAGAGTCCAGGAAACAGGTAGTTTTTATGGGTTTCTAAAGCTTTGTTTTATGAAATTCTGTGTAAAGTTTTATCGTTCCAGTGTAAGCGAAAACCGCCTTCAACGAGAGCCGCATGATCCCATAGTCTTCTTAAGGGCGGTGCAAAAAATGGTTAAGCTACCTTTGGAACTCAAAGGTACTTAAAGTTAGCACTCTGTCAATCAAAACTGAATAAGAAAATCGTTCGCAGCGTTCGCATTTTTAGTCAGTCTTTTAGTTTGTAAAATGATTTACAAAAAACTACAAAAGATGCAACTCATGGCGTTGCTGGTCCATAGAACTCCTGTTAGTGAATAGGCATAGATCAGCAAAGCTTCTCGACATACCAGGGTGAAACCTTGCTCTAATATATTGGGTTAAGGCATGAAACGTCAGTATCTTCATGAAAACTGCGAAAAAAATGTCTGGTTTGCTACCAAAATTTTTCAAATAAGTGCCTTTGAGTTCTAGAGTTTTGGTAGCATACCAGACATTTATTCGCAGTTTTTTCATGAAGATACTGACGTTTCATGCTTAAACCCAAATTATATGAGCAAGGTTTCACCCTGGTATGTCGAGCAGCTTTGCTGATCTATGCCTATTCACTAACAGGAGTTCTATGGACCAGCAACGCTATGAGTTGCATCTTTTGTCGATTTTTGTAAATCATTTTACAAACTAAAAGACTGACTAAAAATGCGAACGCTGCGAAAAACTTGCTTTGATTCAGTTTTGATTGACAGAGTGCTAATTTATACAAAAACGGTTCGGGTTTTTTAAACCAGAGACTGATATTTGACTGGTAATCGGTGTATGGTTTGATTTATATTTTTTCCCAGATACAAACAAATTTATCTTTTAAAAACTTTTCCTGTTATTCGTGCTCCTTACGCGGAATTGAGCGGCGGATGTTCCAAGCAAAAATGAGCATTTTAAAGCCAAATCGAAAAGTTGGATGGATAGTAGATTTTTTCTTGGTTAGTTGGGTGGGGGAGGAAGTCCTGATTTAAATTAAATCCAATTTTTCATTGATAATCAACCCTGTATTTGTATCTATTTTTGGGCATGCTTTTTTCAACTGAAAAACAATGCAAGTACGAATTTTCTTTTTTCTTCATCACTAGTCATAACAACCACAATGAAATTCCCATTAACTTTTCCGACTTTCGAAGAAATCGAATTATTTAAACTTGTCGTTTTTAGATTCAGTCAATTTTCAACTCTTAATTAAGCGTTTTTGACTGAAGTTTACTGTTCCATTTGAAAAAAATTACCGTCCGGAGCTAAAATGTAAGAAAAAAATTTACCTGTGACCACCATTTTTTGAAATGTATGGGTATCTGAAAGTTGCTAATTTGGCCCATTTGGAATACTTAACGGGCAATGTTGTGTGTTTTTGTAACACGCGTAAGCGTCGAATCAATGCGTTTGAAATTGAAGTTGATCTTATTATTAAGATAAAAGACGCTAAAACGTACCTTGTACATCCCTGTAGTTTTAATGGTGGATAAATTTTAAAAAAATTGATTTTTTCAAAATTATTCCGTCATTTTTTCACCCAGACTATTGTTACTTTTAAACTTCGTAAGTTGCTGTAAAAACTAATTTTCAATTGAGTAAATTTTTAATCGATCCTTTCGAGAAGGCTATTGTTTTGTTGTTTTGCGTTACTTCTAAAAAAAATAAACTGCGAAATATGTTTGTTTCGAGAAAAATGCTTAGGCCCTTTGCAAGAAATTGGAACCCTAAGCTCCTAGTTCTACAATACATTTTTTTCAATCATTATCTTAAAAATATCGGAGTTTGATTTTTTAAATGTTAAACTGAATATATTTTACGGAGAACTTAAAATTGATTTTTATTTCAATGTATTCACTTTCGATAAAAACAATAAATTGTTAAAAGAAGTTCATTGTTTTGAGCATCAAAAATGGGGAGTGTATTATGTCTTTGATTGTTTTTAAATCAGTTACCACAATGATCGGAAAAAGCCGTGGGATAAATACTATAAAAAAAAATCAGTCGTGAATCGAACGACATTAAAGTTTCATTTAAACATATATATAATCCTCCGGTATTTTTTTGTTGAGAAAAAAACTGATTTGAAATTTTAATTTTTAGCTAAAAAATTTAGATATGAAACGAAGTATCAGGTGTTATAATTAAAAGTTTTTTGTTTAAGTCTTGAAACAGTTAATTTTTTTCCAGTAAAACACTTCGTGTAGCTCATTCTTAGCAATAAAAAGTTGTTATGTCAACAAAATGTTTGCAATTTTTTACCTTTTTTCTTTTGTTTTGTTATTATTTTGATAGACATTAAACATTGTTTTTGATAAATTGGTCAAGGGCCCCATTTTTTTCCTTTGATGCTATCACGCTGAGAAAAAAGACACTAATTTGAACAAGACTGCTCGTATCAGGGCGAAGCCCTGAATGTTCCGACTGCCTTTTAAGGTTTATGGAGCAGCAGTAATAACATTAAAAAAATAAAGGAAATAAAATAAAACGAAATTTTGTTTATAAAATTTGAAAGTTTTTTATGAAAATCATCCCCCCACACGCCATATAAAGTACAAAAAGAGAGATTTCGTTCCTTGTAACAAATCAATTATGGCAAATAAGCTTCGTTCAACCAATTTGGAACGATTTATAAGACGGATTAAATCTCCGCTTACGCGTTAATAGCGCGAATTATATCGCGCGTAAATTGTCCCAAATTGGTCAAAATGGCCAAAATGGCAATCTTTAAACCCTCATAACTTTACGAAGAATGATCACAGGAGAAATATCCTTTCAAATTTAAGCTCAAGACAATAATACCTTTTGAATGATATTCAAAAAACTTTCGTCAAAAATGGCTAGTTAAAAAGTCGAAATTTGTCTGAAGAAAAAAAAACGCACCCCGAGCACAAATATTCCGTTACTTTCGTATCGAAAGTCGGAACAATAAGTTGTTTTTTAGTTTTTGTATGAGTATGGTCAGAACTTTCTGTGATGCTTGCAAAACGACTGGCTGCTCTTGTTTATTCTATGTCTCTACTTTGCACCAACTTTTTCTACATCTTAAAAATTATGGTTCAATTTTTTGGTACCACTTTTATTTACGGAATTTTATTAAGTTCAATGTCTGACTGACTCGAGGTTAAACCACTGGTGCATGCGTTTTATAGAAAATCTCTTGAATGTTTATAAAAAGTCCATAAAAGGGGCGACAGAATTTTTTGACAGTTTATCGCCAAATTTTGAGCCTTGTCTGCTTTTCTGGGAAAAGAAGATACAAAAATACTCTTTATTTATCAATCAGGTAAATAGAAACTAGGGAAAAACAATTATGTAAATTTGGTCAAACAATAAAACTAGGCTTGCGTTCAGACAAATCCACTGCAACATTATTACAATAATAAAGATCTGTCGCGCTGCACGGCTAAGAAATTTCGTCAATTATGGTCGAAATCATTTGAAATTTTTCGAACTCGGAATTCCGACAACTGTTTACGATCAAACCAATTTGTTCTGAAAGCCGTACAAAGCTGTAAACGCCCTTCTAAGAAAAACAATTTTATCCAACTAATCAATAAAATTCACATTTTATTGCCAATTGAAAACAACCACTTATTGGCGAAACCGTTAACAAGAGAAAAAAAGAACCAATAGCGCACTTTGATTATTTGCGAGGGATTGAAGGAAGATTTTTTGATGATGATGACGATTTAAAGCTATTTGAACTGTTCAACAATTAATACATCAATTTTGAAAGGAATTTATTTCAATACAAATAGTGGATTTAGGTAACTAATCAATTAGCATTTGGAAATTAATCAGAGAAAAGAGGATTAATTAGATTTCGGAGCTGCGCACTTGTGCTCGATTATATCACACGTTTCGCAACTCATAACATAAGTATTGAAATCAAATTTACAACGACATTCAACTTTTGCGACTTGTGTTTCTATGGTGTAGTTAGCAGTTGTCATGCAAAAGTCGCACAGCTGGTCGCACGGGAGGTCCTTCTTTTTTTCGCCGGGGTCCGCAGTGTGGCCGGCGGGGGTCGTGGAAGGAGAAGTAGTGGTCTTGTGATGCTGTGGCATATGGGTGTCGATACAAGTCCGCTGGTTTATTTCCTTTTCGCAATCTGGCTCGTATTTCTGCGTGTAGATTATATTCTTCTCTCGGATTATTTCGTAGTCGTCGTCCTCCTCGTTTTTCGTCACCCAAACCGAGTCGTTTTTCAGAATTCCGAATTTACTCTCTTTGTAAAGTGCAAACAACCTGTCAAAATAAAAATAAAAATTGAATTTATGAAGTGTCGTTGAAGCAAATCAAACCTTCAGGTCAAGCTTTTTTCTAACGTCTCTTCTCTCCCCCCCCCCCTCATCAAGCTTATTTGTTACACAGCATAATAAAGTGACCGAATACTGTAAAAATGAAGGTTATCAAATGGTGACCGGGAAAAAATTGAGCCAAAGTTAATTAAAAAAATAACACTAATACAATCATCGCAATATTTTCCAGCTTAAGCAAAAAGTTTCATTGCAAAAGTTGATTTCGAGGAGGGGTTAAAAATTCAAAAATAAATACAAGCAAGAAATTTCGTCTCAGGGCTAATCCTTCATGGCTCATCTTGCTTTATATCTATTGAAAGAGTTTCTGGAATAAATGATAAAATTTTCAAAAAAAATTTCCTCTCCATCTCTTGAACGTCCAGTTCATACTGTTAAATTTTCTCAATATTAAATAGTTTCCCACTTGATTCTTTAGAAATAAACAAAATTATTTACTCGCATACATCGTTTGAAACAAATGGTAAGATATAATCATGTATCTCTGAATAATAGGCAGAAGGTTTTCATAGATATAAATTACCTGTTGGCTACAATTCTCTCCTGAGTGATTAAAAAGTGAGTGAGACAGTCGTCGGGCGCCTCATCTGGACAGTAGAAGTACGGACAGTCGCAGTGAGCTCCCTCTTCGATCTTCACTATCTTCCGCACCATTTTCAGACCTTCCTTCTTGCCCACATTCATGTTCCTGTCAACACAACAAACAAACTAAATCAAACTTTTCATTGTAATATAAGATAATATATTATATTATTATTATCAGATAATGATAATATTTTATAACATAAAATCAGTAACGTGCCGAGTCCCGAGGGGGGGGGGGGGGCGGTGGAGGGTGTATGGTAGTGACTGCCCCCCCCCCACTTCAGTTCTGGTTACCAAGTTTTTCAAATTGGTCCCTAGTTTGATATAACTTTACGAGATCCTTTTTGGACATATTCAGATCTACAGGAAGCCATTTAATTTCTTTAACTATTAAATAAAAATAAATGTGGCTTCCTGTATATGTCTAATACCTTGTATAAGAACATTATCGCATCTTTGTAACTATTTCTCCCCTATGGTACCTCCTAACGAATTAACTAACGAAGAAGATAATTAGTTATAATTGTTCCGACTTTCGATACGAAAGTAACGGAATATTTGTGCTCGGGGTGGGTTTTTTTCTTCAGACAAATTTCGACTTTTTAACTAGCCATTTTTGACGGAATTTTTTTATATCATTCGAAAGGTATTGTTGTCCTGAGCTTAAATTTGAAAAGATATTTCTCGTGTGATCATTTTTCGTAAAGGTATGGGGGTTCAAAGATTGCCAATTTGGCCAATTTGGGACAATTAACGCGCGATATATTTCGCGCCGTTAACGCGTAAGCGGAGAGTTAATCCGTCTTAGAAATCTTTCCAAATTGGTTGAAATAAGCTAATTTGCCATAATTGATTTGGTACAAGGAGGGAAATCTATCTTTTTGTGCTTTATATGGCGTGTGGGGGGATGATTTTCATTTAAAAACATCAAATTTTAGAAAAGAAAAACTTTCATTTTAATTTATTACATTTAATTTCTTTAGGTTATTACTGCTCCATAAACCTTAATAGGCAGTCGGAACATTCAAGGCTTCGCCCTGATACGATCAGTGTTGTTAACCATTGAAAATTTACCAACTCAGTCTGGGAGATCGCCATTAGACAAGCAATATCTGCTTCAGACGTTTCTGACATCAACTAATAATTGACACTTTTTTGCACGGTTTTTTATCCATAAAGAAATGAACAAGCATATTAGCTATTTTACAGAAAAACTGCTCTAGTTCCGCTGGTTATTTTTTTCCTGTCAAAAAGAGAGCGAAAACAAGAACAGCTTGACAAAAGAAATTCAAACTGATGAAATTATGATCCTTTCTCGTCGCTTGAAGATAGATACAGTTTGGTCCCATTAATCAGTTTAGAAAAAATGAGTGGAAAATGCATCTAATTTTTAACCAGCAGGCACAACAGCGGTTCACCATTTGTGACAAACAGTTCGTATGGCTTTTCCCTCGTGAATAAATTGTCTTCAGAATAATTAAATTTTATAGCATGATCTTTATGAATAAACTAATAACAATTATTGTTATTCTTTGCAAATTGTACTTTTTGTGAATGGTATTAGTTCTGGGAAAGGACCAACATATGGGCTTTTTAAATCAAAAACCGCCGCTGTAGTTGGATGTTTTCTAAGGTCTATCAATTGATTTTTCAAGTTCTCCCAAAATACTATAATGAACATATTCTGAGAATTTTTTTTGTTTCATGCGCATTTTTGAGAAACACTGGCCAAAAACGACCTTTTTAGGCATTTTTTATTAGAAAGTTTTGACCAAAAAATTGCTTTTTTTTAAGCGCGCTCCCCACTTAACTTAAGTGAATTTTGGCGCGTATAAAGGGGTATAACGTTTTCAAGGGGCTAACTACTCGAGCAAACCGCCAATTTTTTGAGCCAGTTCGATTGCAATTGGGTTGTCTGTTGTACATTCCAGGTTTCTTGTTTTTGTTACTTTAAAAAATGGATTCATAATGCATCCCAAATACGAGAGCAAAACATTGAAAGAAGCGGTCTTTGAAGAAAAAAAAACAATAAAAAAACAAACAAAAACGGGGAAGAAAAAAAAACAAAAAAAAACATTTGAAGAAAAGTATTTAAAGAAAAAAAAACAATAAAAAACGAACAAAAACTGAGATATTAGTAAATACACGTCTATTTAAAAGGCCAAAATCTGTAAAACCAAATTTTTATTAACAATCGTCGGCTTAACATGAGTCGAGTTTTATTTTTGAACACGCACCTCATTTGGGCAACTTTTCACTCTTGCTTGACTGAAACTTCGTTTTTTTTTTGCAATTATAAAATTTACCATCTTGTTAGACATTTTGTCATTTTGTCCAGACTTCTAAGTTTCTAAACCAAGAGACTTTATCAAAAATGCCTCCTGACGTATCGAATAGGGTTGAGGCAGGGGATGAGTTGAATCTTGTGAACTATTAACCCCCCTATGGTACGGTAACTAGTAACTAATTACCACCCCTGTAATGAAAGACTTCAAAGGCTAGGCATGTAGAAAATTTGTACTTTGTAACAATTTACCGCTTCCCCCCCCCCCCCTTCCCTCTATTTTGCGAAAAAGGGGTTGGTAGTTGACATGACCCGACGAGATATTCAATCTAACAAAAAGGGCTGAGGCATCTTCAATATTCCTATATGAACTAAAGCTCTTGAAAAGTTGAACCAAGTAAGTCGTAACCAAAATTTCAGTTTTTATGCAAACTTCCCGTAAGATTATTTATATCTTCACTTTTTTCACTAAAACGCTCTTAAATTTGGTTTAAAAGCTAAACTTCATTCCGAAAAACTATTCTCGGTATCGTCGAGAAAAAAAATTCAGCTCGTTTTTCTCTCCAAAATGATTATAGACTACAGTAATTTTCGTTATATGCAAGATTGAATATGATTCTATCAAATGTATTTCACTAGTTTCATAAAAAATATCAAAAATTGTTGATTTATGAGAGTTAGCAAAACAGAGGTGCAATTTTTGATGGTATTTGCTCCTCTTTGTTGGAAATGGGAGTCTGTCGATAATGAGAAAATTTAACAGCGGAAACTTCATTTCGAGCGCGAATATGGAGACTATGCTTTAAAACTGCTGTGACAAAAGTTCAAAGAAGTCAAGAGCTCGTTATGGGGTAAAATTGGTGAATCACCTAAATTGGCGTGAAATTATTTCAATTTGTGTGATGTTTTTGGTTGCTGATTTTTATTTAATTTTTGGCTTCTGCTATCGTATAACTTTCTTCGAGCTGTCGAAGTTGTCCTATGTTTATAGAAAATTTTTAGTCTTTAGTGTTTTTTGGGCTCAATTTTAATTAAATTGGGATGATCTTGCGTTAGAAGTATAATTTAAAATATATTTACAAAAGTTTTCTCGTCATTTACTTGTTGCTTGTTTCTGAAATCCATTTTTTGTTATATTTAATCCAGATATATTTTTGAACTTAGAGGAAGTTCTGCTGAAGTTGTTCAGCTGTGGGTTAGAAAGAATAATTATCAATAATCTTTTTAATTCATATGTTGATTCTATTCTAACTTGGTTGCAATTGAATTTCAAACTTTTTCAAATTTCAAAAAAATTGATTGACGGTGTTCTTTCATCAACCAGCTACAGTGGATGTAGTTCAAACTTAGACCAATTGAAAAAATGGATTAAATTTTGTCCAACTGAGAATTTTTTCTGAAATATTTTGTTCACAATCAATTCAGTTGCCAAAAGCAATAAATTTCGTTCAAATTTTGTTCCTATTTTGTTAAAAACTTTTTAACAAAATAGTAGCAAAATATAAAAACAAAGTTTTTTTGAGTGTGTAAATGAGTGTGGTGTGAGTTAAGTGTGACCAACCTCTCAATAAGTTGTGCTCTTTCTTCGTCTCTGACTCTCACTTCATCCAGATAACTCTCCATGAAGTGTTCCAGAATCATCATCGCGTGTCTCGATTTGGGGTCACAACCCCCCCACGCCTCAAGCTCACTCCTCTTCTCTAAATGATCACACACTACACCTGGGTAGTGCAATCTACACGCGTTGCAGCCGCAGTCCAACTCCAGGTCGTTTTCTATGCACGCTTTTTTAATCTGGAAAATGAAAGCGAAAGTGGCGTATGCAAAAATAAAGCCGCCTTCAGGTGTGTTTGTGAGTCGGTGATCTTTTTGCGGTGTGAGGACGTTGATAAAGACGTTGTTTTTGCACTCGAAAATTTCATTTTGGAATACTTCGCTGCAAATTTGTTGAATTGAATCGACCCAAGTTGTGGGGAAAAGTTGTTTTATGTTGAAATCGGTCACGTTTTTTGTGTGTTCCTTGATCGTTTTTCTTCTGAAAGCGTCGCTAAGCTGAACATTTAAGCACAAAAAGATAACGAGAAATATCGAAACCCGAAAAACCATTTTGACACAAAACTGTTTTCCTAACATCAAAAAATACTCCGTTTTCAGAGATAATCTATCTGAGAGGCAGAAATTAAAGTGATAATTTCGTACAGCCCAATTTGCCTTGGCAATTCCGCGATAAACGAGTAATTTGTTCTAAGTTAAAACTGGGTTTCAATTTGGTGTCGATACAGGAGTTTGGTTTCAGTTAGCAAGGTTATGAAATGGAGGAAAAGGTTATAAGTTTAAAAGTGGAACCTAAATTTGCTGACCCAAAAGCAGAATGACTGACGGCTTCAACTATTCCCAAATTGTGACTTACTAATCACAATTTATGATAGAAACAGTTATTTTTTCCTCAAATGCCGACAGGGAAAAGAGGCGACTTTGATCCGGTATGAACTTTTGAAGAAGCTTTGATATAACTCGGCGCGGTGTCGTTTAAGGTTAGAGTTGAAGAAATATCGAATCAAATTTAATTCTTTTTCAAAACCAGTTAAATTTGAGATCGGGTATAAAAGCAGAGATTATTGGAGCAGGCCGCTCGCGCGCATAGAACTGTTACAAATTCTGGCTTTCAGTTGTGGTATACGAAGATATTTCAAAACACAGGGGGTGCTTTATGACAGAAGATAAAAGGTAAAATCAATTAAGCGCAACAGGGTGTTACTTCGCGTGGCGCAGAAAGAAAACTTTAATCAGTTTTTCAGAACAATTTCCAAAATGACGCCGAATTTAATTTGAGTTGTGACTTGATTGAGATTTTATATTTTGCAGCTCTGTTGTTGTTCGGAGTCGAGACACTTTCTAGAGATATTATCAAAGAAGTTTGGGCAATTGGTTTTAGACTGTGAGTTATGATTAGTTATTATTTGTTAGCTATCGTATCAATATCGCGTTGTTTTTTTTTGCAGTCAGCTCAAATGGTTTGCCGAGGTGCACAAAGAGAATGGTCGATTTGGTGTCGTTGTTTTGTCAAATCCACTTAAAAGTGTCATAAAAATCAAGAAATTCTCAACATATAGCACATTGGTGACAGCTTAGATCTTAATTCTTTAATGCCGTTTCAAATATCGTCTAAAACAACAACTGAGCGGATCAGAGAATATCGAGCCACTACTGTTGTTGCCGCCGCCACCTTGTTTTGCTGTTTGTTCCGCTGTTTCTGCTCTGATCCTCCGCAACACAAATTACTGCAGCTTCACAAGAAACACGACACCAAAAGACACCCCCCGCACTTATTACCTTCTTTTGACCACACAAGATGTAAGGCAGCTGCAGTTATTACCAAATATGATCGAATCTGTAAAAATGGCCTTTATGTTATTACCAACGGATCAACAAAGTTACGCCGTTCTAAGGGTCCGCTAAACAGCTCATATTTCGAACATTCCCTTTTTGATCTTAATCTTTCATAGTTCATAGAAACAGAATTAAGCCACCTGAACTATCAAAGTTTTTTTTCAAAATATCGAATTGCAGATCTAGGACTTTTTCGGGGGGAGGGGGGGGGGGATTGGGGGGTTGGGGGGTTTAGGCCAAAAACGCCAATTTTATGCACTCGTTGAATTGAATGGTTTTGTCCAGAAAATTATTGCATTTGATTTGCGCGCGCTCAAAAATGCTCTAAGAAAAATTGAAGGGGGTTCGTCATCCAAAGTTTGATGCACTAAAACAGGACCAAAGAAGGGTTGAATCCTTTGAGTGGCCAGTATTGAATCCCCCCTAAATCCGCAACTAAATGAATGATTATTTTCTAAACAACAACTCTGGTTGTCAATCAGCCCAGAAAATACCTATAAGAAACAAAATTTTATTAGAGGAATTTTATTTGAGGAAACATTACCTGTTATACAATACTCAAAAAACTGAATCGCAATTTTGTTCCGGCAACGATGTGGGAAGGAGCTATGACGTAGGGTGTATTTTTTTCCGCCAAAATTTAGGTACCTGAACAAAACTTCTAATATGGCATCAAATGATACGGCGAAATGACATTCACACATTTCGCCCCACACACATTTCGCCCCACAAGTCGTTTTTTTGCCTTTCAAATCGTAAAATTAGAAAGCGGTGATTAATTAATTTCAAAGCAAACAAATCAATGTGAGTGAGTGGAAATGTGGCGAAATCTGCGACAAATTAAGGGGCAAAAAGTGTGAGGGCGAAATGTGTAAAATTACGAGGAACGAAACATGTGAGGGGCGCAACGTTCCGCTAAATTTAAGAGGGGTGAAACGTTTGTGGGTTAAAATGAACCTTCTTCCGACGGATCGCATATCAATCACAAAATTTAGAAATGCTACGACAATAAAAAGTTAAGATTCAGAGTTAGAACAACTAGGATTAAGAGCTGGGGTTAGAGACTGAGATAGAATCTGATGTTTGAACTGAGGATTGAGAAGAGGTAGTAATTGTTGAAGAATGAATTGAAAGAAGTGAGTATAAATGACATGCCAAACTAAGCATCACAAAAGCACCAGTTAATTAGTTACTGACTAATTAATTAGTTTGAGATCACTAGTTGACCTTATCTGAGTTTAATCAGTTTTGAATACGCTTCAATTATTCTGTCTAACCTCAACACCCCCACTCAGGCTGAATTGGCTCAGTCAAATATCAGGCTGCAACCCATCAAGGTTCGACGATGCTCTTCCACCGTAGACTTGCTCAGGGATTTTGTCAAGAAGTCAGCTTCCATGAACTCAGTAGGGCAATATTGGAGTTCAACTGTCTCATCTTTCACTCGTTCTCGAACGAAGTGGTATTTCACATCGATGTGTTTCGTTCGCTTCTGCATCACAGTACTCTTGCACATCTTGATACAGTTCTGGTTGTCCTCCTTGATGACAGTTGGTCCGTCAAAAACTACGCCCATCTCATCTAAAATTGATCGCAGATATAGAGCCTCTTGAACCGCTGCTGCCCTTGCTTGGTACTCAGCCTCACTGGTAGATATGGCTGCAGTTGGATGCTTCGTGGTGCTCCAACTAATTGCTGCCCCTGCCTTCTGCAAATGAAAGCTGTAGCCAGTAGTAGACCTTCTATCATCTGCAGCCCAGTCAGCTTCTGCGGATCCATAGAGTTTTACACCACCAGCTTCCTTAGTTTAGCACAGCTCCAGATCTTTGTTCCCATTCAGGTAACGAAAAACCCTCTTTGCAGCCACCCAGTGCACCCTTCCCGAATTCTCCAGGAAACGAGAGAGTTGCGTCACAGTAGCTAGGATATCAGGCGTAGTTTGCTTAGCCATGTACAATAATGAGCCCACAATGCCTCTGTAGTCCTCGGCCTTCATGGATACTGCCTCTGCTGACCCAGTTGTGCGCTGATGTCCGCTGTTTTGCCCACTGGTTTGCATTTAGCAAGGCCAAAACGCTCCAAGCCGTCGTCGAAGTAACGAGATTGATTTATTGTTACCGTCCCAGGTGACTGCTTGAACTGCATTCCCAGGATTCAAGACAAAGCGCCTCTGTCATCCATCTTGAATTGTTCGGTGAAACAACTCCTCAGCTTGTCAACTTAGTCTTGACATCTGCACCCAAGCATGATGTCATCTACCCAAACAAGCATATAAATCCTTGCATCGTTTGTTCCCCTCATCGTAAACAAACAAAAGTCATTGCTGCTTCTAGTAGGAAAGTGCTCAGCGTCTTATACCAGTCTCTTCCTGCCTGCCGCATAGAGACTTCGTTGTAGCAAGCACACTTGACTGTCACCGCTGCTGAACCCCTCTGACTGCTCCATGTACACTGTCTCTGCTAGAGGAGAAATGAGGAAGGCTGACTTAACATCCATCTGATGAAGTGCAAGATCACCTTTTGCCCCCAGAGCCAGCAGTATCCTCTTTGTTTTGGGTTTACAGGTTGGAGCAAACGTCAGATTGAAGTCAAGTCCTTTCACTTACATGAACGCTTTTACTACATATCGGGATTTGAACCACTCCACTTGTCCTATCGCATCTTTCTCTACAGCAAGAACCCATCATCCAGGAATAATTTTTCGAGATTGTGGTCTATCGAAAACTCTCCATGTTCCCATGGCTTCTAGAGTCTTCACCTCTAAAGCCATAGCTGCCAGCCACTGCTCCTTTTCGGATCCAGACACTGCTTCTGAATAGCCCCTTGGCTCTTGAATTCGAGTCACTGAAGCATGGGTATAGGCCAGTCCGTATCGAATGGGTGGTTTCCTTGTCCTAACGGACCTCTGCACTGGATTATCAGTAGAATAAGAATCTACTGCTTCCTCTTCAACCTGATTTTCCTCAGTAGCCCCCACTGAATCTGCAGTATCACCCTCAGTTGGCGCGCTTCGTGCTTCGCTGGTTTTCGTCGTGCTTGGTTGCTCATTATCAAAACAACCCTCGATTGATAGCTCCAGGGTTCGTAATGGCTCACTGTCAAAGATGAAGTTATCTGGAATGATGTTCTGATTGAAAGTCACGCTTCTTGCTCGCACCACTCGTCTTGTCTCTAGATCCATCAACAGGTAGGCTTTGCTCTCCTCGTCGTAGCCGATGAACTTGCTTTTCTTGCCCTTTGTCTCCAGTTTCCGTCTGTTGCCTCGATCCAGATAGTACGCCAGGCAACCGAACACAAGCAAATAGCTCACTTTTGATGGTTTCCCATAGTGCATCTCTGTCGGTTAAAGGCGCTTCTCGTTGTTGGATGTGGGACACAAGTTGCGAACCCTCACAGCTGTCGACATTGCTCGCAACCAGAACATCTTCGGTAGCTTTGCTTCGGCCAGCAGACATCGAGTCCTCTCGGTGATCACTCTTTTCTAGCGTTCTGCTACACCATTCTGTTGGGGAGTATTGGGAACAGTGAACTCTTGCATCACCTGGAATTTTCTACAAAATCTCCTAATTGCATTTGACGAATACTCACCTCCATTTTCAGTTCGCAGGCACTTCAGTGCTCTATGCTCAGCCACAAGCTACTGGAACTTCAGTAGAGCATCACTCTTCTTCACCAGGTACTTGACCACAGCCAGCCGACAGAAGTCGTCGATGAAGCTCAAGGGATAGCGTGCACCATGCATACTCGGTGCTTCAAATGGTCCCTGAATGTCATTGAAGACCCGTTGCCCCACTGCCGATGCTCTGCTGTCAGTCTTCTTAAGCACGGCTACTTCATGCATCTTAGAAGCTGCACACACTTTGCAGAACTCTAGCTCGCCCAAATTGACGAGCGATGAAAGATCCTGCTGATTACGGTGCACCAGTCGTAAGGTGCACCAGATCCTGCTGGTTAAGGTGAGCCACAACATTGCATCACTGGTATCCCTCCTTGTTTTCGTCAGTAGAATCATCGGGTTTCCCTTGAACTTGCACTCAAGGAAGAAAAGCTTGCCGCGCTGCTTCACAGGTAGCTGTCTTCCATCTGGTGCCAATAGATGTGACGCATCTGAGGCGAAACAGAAGCTTGAGCCTCTATCCACAGCTGAGCGCAAACTCATCGAGTTTACACTGTAGCTCGGCACAAACAGCACATTGTGAAAAGTGTAGCTCCTCCAGCACCATGGCAGTCCCGGATCTCCACAACCACAGATTCTTTGCCCTCAATCGTTGACAGCGTGCCGCTGGGGTTCTCCACAGTTGTCCCTTCGTTTCAGCTCTCAAAGATAGGGAAGACAGCCCTGTCGCGCACCACATGATCATTGCATCCTGTATCCACAATGAGGTCGTCTCCGTTCACTGAAGTTGTAGCACAACAGCTGAAAAACCCTGTCCTCCTCTGCTTGCACTCCCTCGCAAAATATCCAGGTTGCCCACACTTGAAGCTCCTGGCCCACTTGCATCGTTCGACCCACTGCCTCAAGCACTGAATTTTCCGCTGTCACTTTAGTTTTGCAGTCCCTCGCCATATGAACCTTCTGACCGCACATATAGCAGCCACTATTTGATACTGCTTTTGTTCCTCACAGCTTGCATGGCTATATGACCATATGCAGTCCTCCCTCCACATCGGTCCTTCCTCGAGTCATCGTAGTTCATCACCCTTGTTCACAGCTCTGTGTGGAAACGTCTTGGCTGGTGGAAAGCTTTCTTACACCACTAAATGCTGATAGCTGTCAGGCAGCCCATTGATCACCAAAGCATTGAACAGTGTGTCCGTGATTGCTTCTCCAGATTCGCTCAACCGCGTTATCAGCTCTTGACTGCGAACGAAGTAGTCGTCCAGATCCTCCTCTGATCCTAGGCGCAGCTTCGCAAGCTGACCTACTAGCCTGACCACCATCGGCTTCTGCACTCTGCAAAATTTCTCTTGAAGCAGCTTCCAAGCCTTCGTCCAAACGCCATAGCCATCTTTTCCCACGCAGTCGTTCTTTATGCACATCAAAGTGGTATTGTTGAGCACCAGAGCCAAGTGGGACCACACAGTGTTTCGATTGTCTTTTCTCTGCTGGATCAACACTGCTCGCTCCTGCATCTTGGTATCGTAGGCTGCCTGCTGATCAGCATTCGGACTCTCGGGGAGAGTAGGCTCAGCCTCTGGCAGATCATCATTGCCCATCACTGTCCTGAACAGGCCCCTGGTGTACATCAGCGCCACAAACTTCGTCGATCAAGCAGGAAAATCTTCAGACTTTCCACTAAAAGCCGCCAGTTTCAAGTCCATCGTTGCTTAAGGCTGCTAGCCAAAAGCTAAAAACTCTGACAGAAAAATAATACAAGAAAAAAATTAGAAGTCTGGTCCCATAACCTGTTAAGATTCAGAGTTAGAGCAACTAGGATTAAGAGCTGGGGTTAGAGACTGAGATAGAATATGATGTTCGAACTGAGGATTGAGAGGAGGCAGTGATTGTTGAAGAATGAATTGAAAGAAGTGAGTATAAATGACATGCCAAACTAAGCATCACAAAAGCACCAGTTAATTAGTTACTGACTAATTAATTAGTTTGAGATTACTAGTTGACCTTATCTGATTTTAATCAGTTTTGACTGCGATTCAATTAATCTGCCTGACCTTGAGATGGTCTGACCTCAACATAGAAGACTGAATTTTTAATGTTACGCAAAAGAGAATCATAGGTTTTTGTTCCAAGTTTCGAAAAATTTACTGAATGTTTTTGCTTCGCGTATTTCTTTATGCAGTAAGTTTTTACGTTTACCAAAAATTTTTGACAGAAAATTATCTAACATCTGAAAGATTTTGTTGACCGGAGCGCAAACATAAAAAGAACACATGAATTTTTTTAAATAAAATGTCTTGGTTTCAAAATTGCCAATTTTTCCCATTCGAGATAATTGAAGCGCGCAAGTGGTTAGTAAAGTCGTTCCGAATTGGATGGAGGTCAATCAGTCGTATGAATTTATTTTTAGATTACGAAACTCATCATTGGTTAAATTAAGCAAAAAATGACAGATTTTTTTTCGATGATTATATTGAATTTTCATTTTTAATTGACCGTAATGTTTGGCTGAAATGGTTGATATCAAGATTTGTTTTGCAAAGCAGTCTGGGTTGTGGTGGTATTTACAATGATAAATCATATTAAAGCTACTTCAGTTACTGCAACGAAAAAATCGCAATTTTTCTCTTCTGTTTTAAGAAGTTCTTTTTGAAAGTTGAGGATTTTAAGTCCAGTTCAGAGCAGTGGAAAGCAAAAATTCAAATCTTAAATTTGTTTTGACTTGTATATAAATAGAACTCGGAGTACGTTATATCTGTTACAAAGAGGATTCAACACATTCAAACTTTATTCTTTCTGATCTTTTGAGAACACTTATTAATTTAGCTGACTTTCTTATGACTAGAGGCTGATTAATGAGATATTTACCAAAACATCAATTGGTTCTTTCAGAAGGAACTTCATCAAGCATAGCAGAACAAACAAAGTTTAATCAAAGGCTATTTTTATTGATGTTTGTAACAACACTTCTATCACAAACTAGCTAAAGTTAACTTAAAAGAGCACAATTTGTTAGAAGAAATAACAAATATAATTTTCTGACAAGTTACAAAATCTTTCATGTTTCTTTTTTCTTCATTTTTATGATCGGCTGCGAAAACTGTCAGTTTTTCAATTTTGACAACTTGAATGACACATGGTCAAATAATAATTTCAAATCAATGCTCTTTTCCTTTTCAGATCATAATAGATAGTAACCCCCCTCCCCCCCCCCCACCGGATAAATTCTTGAATTAACCCTTCATAGTGGTGGCAGCTCTAAGCTCGATAATTTAGGAGGGGACCTAAGAAAATTCTTCCATTTTTCCGCTGTGAACAATTTATGATTTAACTCTAGTGGTTAAACAAGGATATGTATGAAGATCAAATTTGTTCAACTTGGTTTATTTCTCTGCAAGCCAAGTCCCCCCCCCCCCCCAGCCTTCTAAAAATTATCTCTCATCGTACCGTGATTTTTCTATTATGGGGCTTCTTTTTACTGGAACTGGAGGGGCTAAAAGAACCCGGAAGAGAGCTGAAATTAGTTATAACAAACACTTAGTTGATCCTTGTTTGATTAGAACGAGGGAGACTCACTATGTCAACCAAGCTACGAGCTGAATAAATCAAAGAAAAACATAATCCTAACAATTCCTATCTCGACTGCGCCTGTTTTTAGGTCAAATTCATTTATGGGATTAAGATATCTTTCGTTGATAAATTGAAATGCGATCTATCAAAGTCAAATCACTGTCATAAACTTTTAAGGACCTTTGCGAAAGCTTAAATAAATACAGTAGCGTACCAATTTTGGTTGCCAAAAGTTTCAAAAAACTACCCCTTTGATACTATTTTACTACAGCTATTTTCATTTAGAAGTTTCTAAAAACGGCAATTTACCCTAATGTTTGCCACGTAATGTTTGCGTTCCGGATTTCAGCAGCTCAATTTCTCTTCAATGGCGGTCTTAAAAAGAAACGACAAAAAAGTTTAACCACCTCCGCTTTATCAAAAATCCGGCGTACGCCACTGAGAATTAATTAATTTTTTCCGCTCTAAACGCAACTCCATGCTTCAGCATGCTTCTAATCTGGGTTGGTTTTTATCATAGGATGATGATTCCCACCTTAATTTTTCCGATATTTAAAATTGAAGTACAAATGTGGTATAGTATTTCTGGCTGACAAATCGTCGATGCCATGTAAAATTTTGTCTCGTACGTGATAAAAATTTTTTGGTTCCATGTCAATCCAATACACTATTCTAAGCTACCCTGTATTTCAATTTAACCTATGCCAATCCACCCTAAGCCAATTTACCCCATGTTCTATAGACAGTTCAATTGGTCAGAGATAATTGAGCTGACTATCTCAGTTTAAGGTTGCCGGAAGCCGCTACGCGGGCGTCGCCGTTTTGCGACAATAACCTGCTCTAACTTTTGTATAAAGTGCCTTGAAAAATTCAAGTTTTACTATTTTCTCAAAGAGTTTTTTTCTTTATTTTAAAAATATTTCGATAATGTATAAAAACAATCGGCGCAGTAAGCTAAGTTTATCGATAAAAAGGTCAAGCATATCGTTAAAAGGATTTCGCTTCTTTTTAAAATTTTTTTCATCCAATTTATTTATTTGTTTTTCCTCATCAAGAGATCCTCCTGCCACAAAAAACGAAGAGAAGGTTGATCTTCTTCACGTACTCCAACCTGTACAAACATCCCTTCAATGTCAGCTGAAACGGCGTATTTATACTGACGGAATCTTGAAAGTACAAAAATGAGGTTTTGAAGGAGATCCGGGCCAACCAACAGAGATTTGTTCAAGGAAGCGCCATGACACTTCGATGCCCCATTGAGGACTCGGCGCACCTTACCGGGTTTATTCGGGTTCAACACCGGGTGATGCGGGAGATACCACTCACGATCGGCTCGTGAGTTGGGATCGTGTGCCTTAACGGTTATGACATATCCTTTTTGTATATCTTCTCCAATTGTTTCGGCGTATTTTTCATGGAGCGACGGATCCTTATCTAGCCTCTTTTCCAAAGATTTTAATTGAGCTAAGGAGGAAAAATAGTTATTCGGTAAAGTACTTTCTTTATCGTTCCAAAGCATTGGTACAATGTACCTCTCACCATCGTGAAGGGTGTCATTTTTCGAAACGGACAAAGCGCGTTTGTCGGCGGCGGAACGGGCATCTACCTGCTTGAAGGCTCCATATGACTCCAACTCATACCAAGTTTTAATTTAGTCCGCAAGAGACATGTCTTCGACAACACACTTAAAGCAAGACGAGTTCGAATTAAAGGACGGCGGTAACGGACCACTTAAAACCCAACCTATCGGAAGGCGTACGGCGCACGGTGAAATAGAGTCCTCCCCCCGAAGATACTCAACGGGTCTTATGGCATGGTAGAAATCCTGTCCAATAATTATTTCGACTTCCTAATACTTATAATGTATAGGTTTTATCGGAGCCAACTGCGGGTATTTTTCCTGTACTTCAGGAATACTTATGCTATACAATCCAATGCGAATATGACCATTAACATAAGCTCGAAAAGAAAAC